AACATTTAGCAGGGAATTTGCTTTGTGTTTAATCTAACTTAAAATTATCTATCTAATAAACCAATGTTGGAAAAAAAGCCTTAGAGTATAGGGATAGGGTTGAAATACACAGTTCAATTTTCAAGGCCGGCTCATTGACAAAAAGAAGACCGTTAACTTGATTAGTCCAGGTGATAGGGAGGGTTGAAAAAAAAGAAGACCGTTAAGTTGATTAGTCTGGGTGATACAGAGGGTTGAAAAAAATTGTCGTAAAAATTTGAAAACTAAACTTTTTTGTTTTAGACAAACATCCTGATGTGACACATGTTTCTACATCAATTTTTCGAGGGCTTTTAAAAAATGTAGTTTTTACATCTGTAACTTTAGTCACTAAAAATGTATGGTATATTTTAGATTTTTTTAACACGGATCGGACTTAATTATATAGCTAGGACAAACAAATATTAGGGGGCGTTAACCCCCTCCCCTGTATTTTTATTCACATATTTTTGTTTTCAAATATTTTTGTCAACGTATTTGTTTTTAAGTTAATGTATGTATTTTTGTCCATGTAATTTTTTCATGTCAAAGCGCCTATTTGTTATGTATATATTTCCATGTTATTTTTTATGTAATTTGTCCATGGATTTTTTTCATGTCATTGTGTCTATTTTTTATGTATGTTCATTTATTTTGCTTATGTAATGTTGTTCTAACTCTTTCTCATATTGTTTACGAAATTATATCAGGCTAACCTTAAATTTAAATCGTGACTTTGCTTAACATTTAAAATTTAGAATTTAATTTGGAGTAAAGATTGAAATATAATCTTTATTTACAAATTATCAGAGAAGAAATACGATATGATTCCCTGTACAGAAAATACAAACTGTTATATTTACAAATAATCACATCTTGGCTTTTCGTGTTTAAATCTAAACCGTTGAACAATGGCAAAATTTACAAATGACTTTCCTTGCAAGCTGTGTGCAATAAAAATGAAATTTAATTGATGTATTACATCACAGTTTATTTTGGCTAAAAATAAAGGGTGATTCATTTTTAATCCTGTGACCCCCCGTGGCCCCATGGCCTCCTGGCAGAATAGGGTTGGAATAAAAACATTTTGCAAGCTTTCTGTTTTACCTTATAAATTATTTATAATTTCATGTTTCTATCACTTTGTTCCAAAATATTTTTCTAATTTTTGCAAGTCATTTAGTTCTAGTTCTTTATTAAACTTGTTTCCTGCTGCTGCAGACTTAACCCTATCCCCGCTGGGGTACTTGAAAACCAGGATACGCTGGTTAACAAAAAGCACGTCAGATTCAGAAATACAGTCACGGTAGACTAACAACAAGCAAGTCAGATTCAGAAATATAGTCACGGTAGACTAACAACAAACACGTCAGATTCAGAAATACAGTCACGATAGACTAACAACAAGCAAGTCAGATTCAGAAATACAGTCACGGTAGGCTAACAACAAACACGTCATATTCAGAAAAACAGACACGGTAGACTAAGAACAAGCACGTCAGATTTAGAAATACAGTCACGGTAGACTAACAACAAGCACGTCAGATTCAGAAATACATTCACGGTAGACTAACAACAAGCACGTCAGATTCAGAAATACAGTCACGGTAAACTAACAACAAGCACGTCAGATTCAGAAATACAGTCACGGTAGACTAACAACAAGCACTTCAGATTCAGAAAACCACGTACAAGAGTTAGGAAAGTACGTCAGCCCAATTAAAGCACGTTGCACTAAGTAAAAAATGTCAGAATATGTATTTGACAATAGATTAAGAAAACTAGAGAATGTCTACATATTAGAAACACATGGCTCCTCAATAACAAAATTAGAAACAAGATTTCAATCTTTCTTGCAATTTTTTCTTTCATTCGACGTATTATGTAAAATATCATGTAAAAATGCATAAATGTTTTGTGTTCTTAAGAAATGAAGTCGTTTTGAAAAGTTCAAAAACACTCAAGTAACATAGATTGAAAAAAAATTTTGTAAGTTGTTTCATCCTTACCAGGAATGATTTGAAAAAATCTAATTCTAAAATTTTTTATTTTGTTTTGCAAATATTCAGTTTTATTTCACAATACAAATATTTGGCAATATTTTATTGAAAACTGTTTTCTTTTCTTTTTTGTTAGTTTAGACTAGAGAACAATGACATTTCTGTTTCGAACTTCATCAAATATTAATGATTTCATGTTACAATTGTAAAATCTAGATAAAATTTTGCTAATTTTCACAAGTCATTCTTATTTTCATTAAACTTTTCTTTTAAAACCAGAACTTAGCAAATAATATATATGATATATATCCCCCCCCCCCACTCAACTAGAATTAAGGACCTTGGTTCTCAAGGTGGGGGGAGGGGGGGGGGGGAAATAGGGATAATAATTTAAAGTTCGGAATCCCTACACGTAAATCTGTCCCTTTAGCAAAAGTAAATTCAGCTTATATGAAGCATAAAGTCTGTCCGCGTCAACCTTGTTGCACAGGCTAGTCCTGTCTATAGAGCTGTCTATAGAGTACGATCTGGGACCGGAAAGGTTGACCCGGCTCGGAAATTCAAATGTACTACGGCTGCCCGTGCCTAAAAATAAAAACGAAACCAGAATAGGTTTAAATACGAGAATATGAGAAACCATCAAATAAAACCTTCTAAACAGAAACTTTTAATCCTAATGACAAAAAAAGAAAAAATTAACATAAACCATGGGCCTCTTTTTCGGAAAACAATATTACCTTTGAAAAATTAAATTTCTGCCGCCATTTTCATTCATACATTGTTAAAAAATGTAAAGATTTAAAAAATAATTAAAAATAAAAATTTGTCAATAAATTAGTAAATACTTAAACAATCAAAAAACATGCCAAAATTATACATATTAATATCTATATATATATATATACATATAGGTGACATCTTGCAGATAGAGTTGCACAGACATACAAACAAACAAACAAACCAATTGTATTATCTGAGAAGCCTGGGAAACCTCCTGGTGCAGTAGATTGGGAAAAGAATGTCTTAAATCCATTATCAGCACTGTAAGAAATAGTAAACAATGTTGGGATAAACCATTAACAAAATCCCCTAAATATATATAAATCAACCTGAAGAGAGATAGGGAGGGAGGGGGGGGGAGGGAACCAATAAGAGGGAGGAGAGGCTTCAAATAACCAAAAACCCAATAGAGAGTATGGGGGGGGGGGTGATTGATGGGTAGAATAAAGGAAGATTGTATTATCTATATTGGTACTGAGTAAAGATATATGCATTAGTTTAATTACAAACAGTACTGCAGTACTGTATAGTAGTCTCACAGTACTGTACTGTACAGAAATCTTACAGTACTAAACAGTAATTTTACTGTACTGTACAGTCATACTATAGTACTGAATAGTAATCCTACAGTATAGTACAGTAATCTTTTAGTACTTATAGTAATCCTTTGGAATCCTACGGTGCTGTACAGTCATCCTATAGTACAATATAGTAATACAACAGTACCGAACAGTAATCCTACAGCACTGCACAGTAATCCTAAAGTAAGGTAAAATATTCCCACAGTAATGTACAATATTCCTACAGTAATGAACTATTCCTACAGTAATGTACAATAATCCCACAGTTATGTACAATATTCCTTCAGTACTGTATGGTTATCCTACAGTAATGTACAATAATCCTATAGTAATGTACAATATTCCTACAGTAATGTACAATTATCCTACAGTAATATACAATAATCCCACAGTAATGTACAATATTCCTACAGTAATGTACAATATTCCTACAGTAATGCACAATATTCCTTCAGTAATGTACAATATTCCTACAGTAATGTACAATAATCCTACAGTAATGCACAACATTCCTACAGTACTGTACAGTAAAAAAACTGAATACAAACTCAAGCTATTTTTATCCAAGATTTTGATTAACTCTTCTCTGTCCCATATGACAGAGGCTCCCCCCCCCCCAAGATGGCAACCACACGGTTTTCCTCATTTCAAAATCTTATTCCTCGCCATTTAACATTAAACTTTTCTCTTCAGTCAAGGGTTAGCTGAGCTAAGGAGTCTCCCAGGAGATACCTTTTTATTTCCCAAGAGGGCTCTGCTCTTTATCTGTATACAGTGTACACTTAGATTAGAAGGATACAACTCATATACAGTTATTCATTTATCTAGATTCTATTTCTTGTTCTAGTTCTACTGCTAGTTCTAGCTCTAGTTTTAGTTCTAGTTCTAGTTCTAGTTCTAGTTCTAGTTCTAGTTCTAGTTCAAGTTCTATTTCTAGTTCTATTTCTAGTTCTATTTCTAGTTCTAGTTCTAGTTCTAGGTCTAGTTCTAGTCCTAGTTTTATTTCTTGTTCTAGTTCAAGTTCTAGTTCTACTTCTATTTCCAGTTCTAGTTCTATTTCTAGTATAAGTTCTAGATATAGTTCTAGTTCTAGTTCTAGTTTTAATTCTAGTTTTAAATCTAGTTCTAGTTCTAGTTCTAGTTCTAGTTCTAGTTCTAGTTCTAGTTCTAGTTTTAGTTCTAGTTCTAGTTCTAGTTCTAGATCTAGTTCTAGTTCTAGTTCTAGTTCTAGTTTTAGATCTAGTTCTAGTTATGTACTAGTTCTAGTTCTAGTTCTATTTCTAGTTCTAGTTTCTAGTTCTAGTTCTAGTTCTAGGTCTAGTTCTAGTCCTAGTTTTATTTCTTGTTCTAGTTCAAGTTCTAGTTCTACTTCTATTTCCAGTTCTAGTTCTATTTCTAGTATAAGTTCTAGATATAGTTCTAGTTCTAGTTCTAGTTTTAATTCTAGTTTTAAATCTAGTTCTAGTTCTAGTTCTAGTTCTAGTTCTAGTTCTAGTTCTAGTTCTAGTTCAAGTTCTAGTTCTAGTTCTAGTTCTAGTACTAGTTCTAGTTCTAGTTCTAGTTTTAAGAGTTTGGTCTTCCAAAAACAAGTTTTTAAGATTTGGTCGTTTGATTAATAGGGTAAATTGCAAACATTTATTTGTCAGCAACATATAACAAATACCATTTTAAAATTATATAACAAACATGGACAAATTAAAGTTATAAATATAATTAACAAGTTTAGCGATGAGCACTGAGCAGTTTCTTTGATCTTCGAGCTAGATTTGAATAGAAAATGAATGTTGGTACAAATTGAAAATAGAAATTATTCAACTTGTTCCTCTTCAAATGATTCTATTTCATCTCTGGGGGTTTCATCTTTGACAGTTTCAGGTTCTATTTCTAGATCACGTGTATTCCTGGCGTAGGTGCCAAGACTTTCAAACTCAGCATTAAAACTGTTGAAGCTAGTTCCAGAATTGACATTAGCTCCTACAGGAGCACCATACCCAGCTACAGCTTGCTCCACCCCAATATCAAATTGATTTCCCCCAAATGTGCCTTGGTTACCAATTGAAACCCCGTTTTGGATGCCTCCAAAACCACCTTGATTTCCTCCATAAACTCCTTGACTGCTCCCAAACCCTCCTTGAATCCCTAACACACTTATTTGACTGCCTCCTAAACCTCCTTGATTTCCTCCAAAACTTCCTTGATTGCCTCCATTCTCCCCTTGGTTGCTCACATAACCCCCTATTGCTTGATTCCGTCTAGAGCTTCCTTGGGATCCTCTGGATGCTGCTTGATTTCCTCTGTTTCCAGCTGATGCAGAAGAAAATGATTGCTGTGAACCAGATGCAGATGCTACTTGGGTTTGTCTTGAGCCTGAAGGTCCTTTAGATGAACCAGATTTATTCCTCAATGATGATGCATTGTTTCCTTTCTGTTTTCCTTCTTGAGTCTGTCTACCATTCTGTGTCTGAACTATGCTCTGGCTTCCCTGATTCCTGTTTTGATTTCCTCTGTTTTGGTTTCCTTGCTGTGCCTGATTCCTGTTATTGCCCCCAGCTCTCTGATTTCCTTGAGCACTAAGAGCAACTTCATTGAATTGAGATCCTGGAGCCTCTTGATTCAAGGCAAATCCAACCCCTAAGCTAGCAGCTTTTCGGGCTTCAGCCACTTCTAGATTTCTACCATACAAGCTCTCTGCTAGAGAACAGTCAACATTGAACCACCAGTCACAGACAAAATACTGCTGTTGGAAGAGGGTTCCATTAGGGCAGAGGAAACTGTACTTAGTTAGTCCACCCTGACCATTGTCGGCGCAGATATGGAAAGCCTGGCATTCTGATTCAGGATCAGCATAGTATCCACCATCCACCTGACCATCACACAAGAAGGAGGTCTCAGGGACTTCAGAGAAGATTGGGTAATCATCTCCAGGAACACCAGGAATTGCATCCTCAAGGGATCCAGATCTACCGTCATCAAACCCTGATCCACCATTACTGGTATCAAAGGAATCTCCAAATCCACCAAGTCCTTCCTGAGATCCAAAAGAGGCAGAAAAACTGTTGCTTCCACTGCCAAATGTATTGCTAGCACTTCCAGCAATGCCACTATTATCACCACCTAATCCACCAGAAATTCCTCCAAATCCACCTGAACCACCTACAAATCCTCCAGTGCTACCTCCAAATCCTCCACTGCTACTTCCAAATCCTCCACTGCTACTTCCAACCCCTCCGATACTTCCTCCAGATCCTCCGGAGCTACCTCCAAATCCTCCACCAGAGCTACCACCACTAGGTCTATATTGACTCTGACCGGCAGCTCCGCAAGTAAGAGCAGCCAGACCTGTAGAAAATATTTAAAGAAAACTAAAGAAAAATGTTTTTGAAACTATTAATATACACTATGTTAGAATTTTTATAAGAAAAACTAATAAACACGATTTAGGGGGATGTCTATGATAGGGTTCTTTCAAACCTGTTTTGAATGATTCAATTGCTAATTGTTCCATATTCATTGTCATCGTTGTCACCATTACCATTGGTTTTTGTAAGCAACAGTGACGCCGTTAAGAATTTATAAAGCTAAGCGATGAAATCAAAACAAATGTTAGTGATAAGTTCTATAAACTATTATGGGTAATAATCTTTGATATTTCATCTTTTGGGCGTTTGGTAATATACATTCTAATCTTTAATGAATTCATCCAATTAATCAATCAATCAACCAATCAAATGTAATGTAAAGCTACTACTTCTTTCTATACTGAAATCAAGGATTATTAACTTAAGTCTTCACCAAGATCAATATTATTTTAATTCCAACTGTGTACACAGTCGTCGTCGTATATATCAATACAATGAAGGCGGCTTTCTATTTTAATTTTATGTTTGCTTTCTAATTTTCAAACAGCAAAAACACATAAACATGCAAACAAAAGGAAGTTGCCAATTATTACATGTAAACTTCCAATTTGAAAAAACGCTTGTCAGGGATCAAATCATTATTAATAAAAAGTCGTCTTCATTGTATTGATATAAACACCGACCACTGTAGTCATTTTGAGATCTTGATGTGATCATAGGCTGACCCTAAAATTATAATTGATCAATTGATTGAGTTAACATTTTTTGTTTTTTGTCAACACAATATAAGATGGTAGGGTAACTGGACTCACCGATCAGGATGAATTGTATCATGATGATCCAAGTGCAAACCCTGAACTGATCTGTTTCCCTCAATATCTACAATTTATACTCATCTTCTCTTCATCTCTGCAAAATGTGGTGCAAATCTTTCTCAGGGGCTACAATCTCCATTATTTATATAAAATGCAAAAAAACAGAAAATTAAAATTTAGCAACTAAACCATTAATCCAATATGTTTAATTTATTCTCAAATACCCCCCCCCCCATTTTTTTACAAAATATATGAAGTGTCCCTGATTCGCTGAACTATATTCGAGTTTTCATGTGTTGTCGAAACTGTTTGCTTAGATTTAATATTTTAAAATTAACCCTTTTCAGGCGCGCTGGTTTACTCAAAATATTCTTGGGGGGGGGGGGGTCTCAGTGACCCTCCTCCTCTATTTCCTCATTGTGATACAAATCTATAACAATTGATACATTTTTGGAAAGCCTTTTGGATCTTCTTTAAAAATTTGTAAAAAAAAATTGCAAATTTGCAAAATTCTAAATATTTATTGCAATACCAAATTATCAAGAAATTTGCAAAAACAAAAAGTGTGCGAATTACAATACATTTTTGAAAAGCTCTTGACACGACAAATTCAAATAAGTTTGCAATATTTTCACAAACTAAATTTGTATTCAAGGAAAACCAAAAATGTGCAAATTTTCTTTACAGGCACCTGTGAAAAAATCTATGCAAAATTCCTTCGCAAATATTGTACAATCTCCTTTCTTTTGTTCAAGGCTTTCCAAAAGGCTATACAATCAGGCAGTTTGCCTGAGGACACAGGCAGTAGGTACAAAAGCCCTGCTTTGAGTCTATAGTGAGTGGCATGTGTTGGAAAAAAGCTGCTTTATAGGTTTATTTATTGTTGGAGCTGTTTCATAGATTTTCCATTCCTTGAGTCTTTTTTACCATTACATGCACAAAAATACTTTTCCATACTTGTCCATGGTGGGGGCTCAGATCCCACTTCCTATATTTGTACCCCCCTTGCCCTTCCTCCCTCTTCCTAGGTCTACTGGACCACACAGAATATTTTTGTTTTGAGACCATGCACGAAGATCTGGGGAATTGGAGCAATCTTCTCAAACTTATGGGTCAAGGTTCCTAGGGCTGGGCACGTTCCAGCTTTTTTTAGCTGTTTTGTTCCAACCGTTAAAAAAAATGTCATGTAGCCGTGCCTTTCAAAGGTAAGAACAGACCAATTTTAGCAGAAAAAATAACGAAATTTGCCATTTTTGAAAACCCATTCGTTGCGTTTTCGTTTTCAACCGTTATTTTTTTTAGCAGAACTTTGCTCAGCCCTGAAGGTTCCTAGTTCCTAAACATAATATCTACTTATATATAGATACAAATTTATATTTATTCCTATCATTTAAAGCATAGTAAAATTGATATTTTTAGCAATATGAATGTCATTTTGGATACCTTAAATTCAAATGCTGGAGCTACAGTGTGTTTTGTAATCTTGCCAATTTTCAAATTGCTTTATTATTGTTTGTAATTGTAAAAAAATTTGAGTAATCAAAATATGAACGTTTTGTTATATAACTGAATTCTATTGTTTTTCTTTGACACGAGTTAAAAATGACCGCTATTTTTAACTGCATAATTTAGCTCTATAGTGCGAAAATTGACTAAAACTCTTAGAAGTATTTTGGCCGGGTTGACTTTAAAAAGTAATAACTCTTCAACGAAAGGAAGTATCGACGAATTTTAGGAGGTAGCTCTTGGCCTTGGCTATCTGTGTGCAAAATTTGTCTAACCCGCCTTCCCAAAGAAAGGTGAAACTGCGCGTGAAACGTTTTATCGAAATACTGGTGTATAGGAAAACTGAATTTGTGTTTTTTTCTAAAATACATGTTGCGGATATTTTGTTTTATTGAAAAACGTTTATATTACGGTTGTTCAAATCTTTTCACAGATTGTAAGTTCTAAAAAATTACAGAGAAGTATTTGTTTAAAAATTGTCCGAATTAAACGGACACCCTGTAGGAACATCCACAATACAGTGATAACCAGAAAACAGTAGAATAGGAAGACGATTTTAAAGCAATACTGAAGTGCATTGAATGATGTTACATATAGTAAATAGCTAACATAGTAAACTAGTGAAATGGGTCTGTTTACACTTCACAATTATTGGGCCTCATATTCATTGAACTGTTTCAAGTCCTAATTTGAATCAAAAAGTCGACTTTAATCCAGAGTTTTCTGGAATAAAAGATACAATCCGTAAGAACCAGAAGCTGTGGAAATGTTGGGATTAGGGTTCTATAATTTGTAAATTGTAATTGTTAAAAATCCTATTCACATTACTGTAAACAGTATAGGGCACTTTTTTTAATTAGATCAGTTTCAACTAACAAAATTCTTAGTATAATTTATTAATAAAAAAAGAGAATTTGACTGTTTTCTGGTTCTCTCTGTACTTGTGGATAGAGTTGGGTATTGTTATTAATCGTTTTTTAAACATTTTTTTTATTTTCAGGCGTTTAGTAGATTTCACAAAAATTCTGAGAAGATTTAAACATATTTCAAAATTTGATTCTTCAAAAGTTTGCTCTTGTTACACTTCTGGCAAAGACAGTGTTTGACTTCGTTTATATTTTCTGTCAGACTAAAAATGTTGCAGAATTTCCAAAAAGAAAACGCCTAAAAATAAAGTTTTAAAAGGAAAGACTAACGTAAACTTGTGTAAAGCCTTCTAAAGGCAAAAAAGCCAAGAATACCTAAAAAAGAAAAATAACAATAATAATATTTTTGTAGCAAAAAAATTGTGCCAACATGAATCTGCATATCTATATCTATATATAAACTTAGCTTGGGTGTCTGGGTGTTTGTTTGTATCCAATAAACGTCAAAACGACTGAACCGATCGGGCCCATTTTTTGTGGGACCTGGCGTGACCCCAGGGAAGGTTTATGGACGATCGAATCTTCAAAAATTTGCCCTCTAACAAAATTTGATTTTTGAAAATTTTTAAAATCCACGAAATTTTTTTGTAAAATCCGTGACATTTTTTTAAAGTTTTTTTTACATTGTTTACAAAGAAAAGATGTTCACAATTGAAATAGAAGATGAGTGCGAGGCACCCTTAAAGCATAGTAGGTTTATATTCTAGTTCTGGCAGAAAGTTATTTTCTATTCAAAATGATTGTTCTATAAATCTTTCTGATCTTAGTTAAATGTTAGTTAAGAAACAAATGAAATATTTTGATGTCCCATTGGAACATGCATGGAAAGTTTCGGTTTTACAAGAACTTTTAAATACAAGAACGAATAATTTATATGTTGAAGGATTCGATGATTATGTAATAACTGAAATGATAAATATATATATGTTCTGTTATGAGTAATGATCAATGTTGCCTATTTGCGCATAATTTTGCATATTTTTCTTTTTTCTTTTGTAAAGCTATATATTAAAAAATTTATTTAAACAAATTTAAACTACACCATTTATATATGTATTAATATCTTTGTGTGTGAATAAATCTTTATCATCATATAATATTGCTTAGTAAAATAACGTTAATCCCGGTTTTATGGGCATCTTATTTGGTAAATTCTTGAGATATGTTAAATGAATTATGCCACTCAACCATCCTCTACTTTACCCTACCCTATGCAAAAAAAATTTTTTGCAAAAAATTTTTTTTGCAAAATTTGTCCTACACTCAAAAGTTGGAAATGTGAATAAATTTTAGAATAAGTGGATTTTGATTTATTGAGGGAACTCCACAGGGGGTTATTCCCCCCCCTATATAGATANCCTGCCCCCCCAATCTTGATAGGGTCAAAGTATACAAGGCACAGGATATTCTGCAAACTGCAAACTAAAGATAAATAAATTTTGCAATCATGAAATTTGATGAAATTGAGACAGAATCGTGCAAAATTTCAGCACATACGAGTTTTCAACACTTTTTGTTGCTATTTCTGCATGTTGCTTGAAATAATACGTTGCAAAATCTGAATGTTTTATGTTTTGCAAATACAACACGTAACATACTTTATGACTTTGCAATAAATAAGTTAGAATATGGGAGAAAAAATGGAAATTAATAGCTGTGTTCCTTCTGATGTCAATGTTGCTTAAAATACGATTATTTCAGCTGTTTACTGTAAGTGTAAGCATCTTTAAATTATTAACTGTTTTATAATATATTAATTTTGGAAAAAAGAGGAAACAATCTCTTTACAAAATGTGCAGTACTTGTATTTAAAAACTTTAAAAGTGGGGTTAAAATGCTTAAAAAGGCTTAAAAAACTAATTTTTTTTTATAAAATTTAAAAAAAACATTTCTCCAAAATTCGAATTTTTTTTTCAAAATAAAAACAAAGAAGAAGAAATCATAATAATTGTAGTGCTATTGGAGACCCTATTTAATTGGAGACCCCCATTGACGTCTCATTGGAGGGGGTCTCCATATATTTTCCATATTTTCATTGGATATGGTCGTTAATGGAAAATCTGGTTCATAAATTAAAATAAACTATTTTCCTCGTTAAGGCACCGGCCAAGTCCTACTGGCTACCGCTAGCCATAAAAGAAGTTTTCTGACACCTGATGGCAAAATTTTAAAATCTAGAATTGTTGCCTCCACCACAGACCACCAGCTGTCTAACTAAGAATAAAAATTCTAGAAGTCTCTATAGAGAATATATTGTTAGAGTTTACTCCTCTTGGATCATTTTCTATGATTGAATTTCTCGTTTAAATCCTAGTTTTATAGCTGCAGCATAGCACTAGGCTATATAATCAGGTTTTACTAGCCATTCCATTCATCTACCCATATACTTCTATGCATCTATCTATTTATCTATCTATCTGCCTATCTATCTATCTGCCTATCTATCTATGTATCTATCTATCTATCTATCTATATATCTATCTATATATTCTTATACCTATCTATCTAGTTATCTACAGGGTGTCCCAAAAAACATGGGAATTCAGTGACGAATTCGATATCGTCTTTTCAAATAATTCTTTGATTTAGTATAGTGATACCTAAAGAGAAAGCTGTAATCTGTAAGAATTTCGTCTGCTATGTACACATTTTGTTTGTTTATGCTTTGACTGCAATAGGTTGTACTTAGTAAAACAAGAAAATTGCAGTATACAAACAGAGTAAACTTGTCCGTATTCACTGTTCATCTTGCGGAGACATTTCCTTCCATAACTCTTCTTTATATTTCATTCATTTTCCCCTCTTCATCTATTTTAAAGTTTATTTTAAAAACAAATTCATCTTGTGCCCATTACTTGTGAAAATTGTTTCTGATTAATGAAGATTGCGACGATTTATAACTTTTTCCCAGATTTTCTCAAATTGATAAATTCTTAAATAAATGGAATCCTACAAAAACTGAGAACTGGGGACGATTTGAATTATTATTAATGTTTCAGGATTTTTTTTATTTATTAATATCTTTGCATCATTTCGATCATCTCTTTAAGGAAAATTAAGATATTTTAGTGGAAAAGTACATTTCATTTATTTTGTTCACCTTATTTTTAACGCATTTTAAGACGTTTTCCTTTTTGGATTCTTAAACATGTTGTGTTCATTCATTAAATGTAATCAAAAGTTTATCGATTTTTAATAGTATTAATGTAGTGAACTGGAGCAATTTTTTAGTTTTTTTAGCTCCAAATATACATCATTCTTTTAATGTTGGTTGATTTATGAAAAGTGATAATGTAATTTTAAAAATATTTTAAATGCAAAAAAAATTAAAACGTTGCCCATCCCTTATAATCTAGAGGAGAGGAGTGAGCCAACAGGATTTATGGATCAGAACATCTCTTCTGATCCAAGTTCAGTTCCAGAAAATAAGCAGAATACAAAACTAGAATATGTACAGTGGTAACTGGAAAACAGTTGAAAGATTGTCGTCATTTCATATATAAGTGATATTCGATTTTTCATTTTATTTCACAAGGGGTTTGTGAATAGGGACTTTAAAAAGTAATGCGATAAAAAAAGACTCCCCCACCCACCCCCAAAAATTAAAAATATCAAAAAATGTTGCACCTCATTTTCTTAGAAATTCTTCAAATTTAAAAATGAATTTTACCAAAATTAAAGATTAGGTGCCAACTAAATTTGGCACCAAAAAGTTGTAAAAAAATTGAGTATTTTTAAAAAACTGGGTTTTCAAACTAGTTTTAAAACCCAGTTTTGTCGCAAAAGTTTGACCTTCTCCTGCAGTCGACCAAGTTTGCAATGGTGTGCTAATACAAAATGAATGAAAAACACTGTTTTTAATCCTGCGCGGATTCAACTCAACAAGTTTTGCAAAAACATGAATATGAATTTATATAAGGGTATATCTAATTTGGCCAACAGATAAGGGGGGGGGGTGTGTACTATATGGTTACTGATTGTAGACTATACTTCTAAGGAAGTAAATCCAGTATGGATATATAAGATGGTGAACCATGAACATCTTCAGTTGAAATTCATATTCATAATAATGATCTCCCTCTCAAGTGAGTTATGGCTGCCAAAAGTTCGCTAAAACTAAAAAATTCAATCTGAAATAAATGTTACTTTATTTCAAAACTTTAAGATGTCCTTTAGAAAAAACTTAAATTTAACCAAAACCTTGGAATTATTGTTGTCTTCCTTTTTTTATGGATGATACATGGTGTCTCAATAAACATGGGAATTCAGTGACGAATTCAATATCGTCTTTTTAAATAATTTAGTTTAGTGATACCTACTGAGAAAGCTGTAATCTATAAGAGTTTCGTCTGCTTTGTTCACATTTTGTTTGTTTATGTTTTGACTGCATAAGGGTGTACTTAGTAAAAGAAGAAAATTACAGTATACAAACAGAGTAAACTTGTCCGTATTCACTGTTCATCTTGCGGAGACATTACAGACACATCCTTGCAGTCTTTTACCCCTTTTCATAAAATAAACTCTAGCAGACATAATAATATTATGGCTTTTGAAATTAGGTATTACAATGCTAATTCATAACAAAGTCGATATCAAATTCGTCACTAAATTCCCATGTTTTTTGGGACACCCTGTATTAAATATTTGTAGTTTGTAATTGTTTCGTTAAACATGTTCAGGCTACTTTCTAATAATAAATCTGTTACAAATAACACAAATATTTTAATTAAAGGTACTAACAAATATGACATAATATAACTGTTTTTGGTTACAACTGCATATCTAAGATCATCAAAAATATGACTGCATCCAACATGTTTATCCGTAAGGGTCTGCTAATAGACTTAGCAAATTATGATTTCCATAAACTTACACTAACTATTAAAACTTTTGCCATGAATAAATTTGCCATTATACTGATATTGGCATTTGCTAGAATTTTTTTTCATTTTTCCAATAAATTTCATCGCTAGTTTAATTTGTTTTTGGTCGGCCTCATGATTGCAGCGATTTCTAAAAAAAGTCCCCCCCCCCCTCTTTAATAAAACCAGTCAATTATTTTTAATGTTTTAGTTCTTCTTCTTGTTCTTCTTGGAGTCAACGGCCAAGGTGGTGTTGGAGGAGAGGAGGGGAGTCTGGAACAATCTATTCCAGGTACTTGAGCATATAATAAAATTGTTTCAACTTTCCGGTAGAGTCTTACCCAATCAGGGACCCCATCACGGGATTTGTGAGTATGTAGATAGAGATTGCAACCGTTGTAAATTAATGATCGACATGTAAATTAGAAGCAAATACTAACCGAAATTTTTACTTACAATGCAACATGAGTGATAATTGGTGTCAGAGATCCAGACAGGCATGACAAATTGTGCATAAACTTTTAAGACAGGGTCATTATTCAGTGTGGCAACGCATTTGGCATTTGCCTTTGGTTTTATCTATTATCTCAATCAAAAAAAATGTCAGCCCTTGATAATAAACTATACTGTTTAGAAATGCATCTTGTTTCTAACTTCATTTTAAAAGGAGTAAATGCTTGAGAAGCGTGGTATATATATTTCTTCTTTTTTTTAGGCATCCCTGGATCAGACTATCCCATATTTATTGAAGCTCCTGAGACCTCCTTCCTCTGTGACAATAAGGTTGATGGCGGTTACTATTCCGATCCCGAAGCCGAATGCCAAGCGTTCCATATTTGTGCAAGCAATGGGTTTGGTGGCCTAACCAAGTACAGTTTTGTCTGTCCCAACGGAACTCTATTTAATCAGGAGGTATTTGTCTGTGATTGGTGGTTTAATGTAGACTGTTCCCTAGCTGAAGGATTTTACGGACTCAATGATCAGTATGCCGCAGAGCGAGAAGCCAACGGTGGAAGTCAGGGCATTGATCAAAGATCAGCTGTTGGACTTCAGTCCGATAAACCGCAACAATCTGCTGAAAACACTGCTCAAACTAGAACTGGAAGGCGTCTCTCAGGCAATGGAAGACAAAATGGTGGAAGATCCTCAAGAAATGGAGGCAGAGGCCAAAGGAATGGAGTTAGGTCCTCTCGAAATGGAAGACGCTCTTTTGGAAAATAACTTGATTCTGAACTTTGAACAGGAAGAATTTTACACTATTAAACAAAATGTTGTCTTCATATACTTCATTTAGAATAATGTGTCTAGTCTACAATATGTATTCATATTTAATTAATTAAATTATAAAAATAAACCAAAAATTGATTTAATTGTTAATTTGTCATTATAAATATTTGTAGTATATAAGTTCATAAAGAAAGTTAAAAAGTAGACATTTTTATAGATTTTAACAGCTGTAAACCAATCTTGTTGTCCCAGGGCGCATTACAAAGAAAACGAGGCGGATTTATTTTAAAATCAATTTAACAAAACCTTTTCATCGTGCTTTTACAATTTAAACTAGAGAAGACATATAGTGGTAGAAATAGATGAAAAGAAATAAAGTCTAAATGCAAATGGTGGTAAATTTTAAGAATGGTATATATTTTTCTGAAAAAGGTATAATTTTTTGTAATGAGCTGGCCTTGAAAAGTTAGACTATGGACATGTATCACACTACCCTATCTCAACTCTAAGGGAAAAATCATAGGATGGGGTGTGGTGGGGGGGGGAATCCCCCCCCCCCCCTCCATCTATATTTGACAAAAATAGGCCAACCGGGATAGGGTTACCAAATCAAATGCAAATCGCAATCAAAATTTGAGTGAATTCAGTGACAGTAACTTGCCATAAATTGCCATAAACCTCATCAAACCTTATTAGTCAACTTTGATATAGGTCGAAAACATCAACACAATACGATGAAGAATGATATCGAAAATAATAAAGGGCGTACCATAAAACATGGGAGTTAAATCGTTTTTGATGTTTCAAAAATTTGCAGCATTCGTCTCCCTAGTCCCTACTGCTTTCAAATTCTTAAAATCACAAATTTCCTCTAATTCTCTATTTTAAATACATAATTATTACTCACATAAAAATGTCGAGTTTTTAGAAACAATGCTTTTTTTCTGCTAATTTTGCTTGAAGGTGAGATAAAGAATAGTACATGCAAGGTAATTGGATTCGTAAAATCGCAAAATTCACCTGACACCTGGTACTGCTGGAATGTCCGAAATGTGGACTGCAAATTTTGTGCAAATAAAAAAGATAAACAAATCTGTCCAACCTGAACCAAATTCTTAAAATCTCTAGCACTTTTGAAAGCACAAAGCACAGAAATATTAACACAATTGAAAACTTAGGGGGGGGGGGGGTTCAACCACTCCCTCATATTACTCAGTGGGAGGGGGGAGTTGTAATCAGTTGTAATGGACTTCTTTCCCCCCCCCCCCTTCCGGCCCGCCTACTATTATGGAAACAAATGTTGCAAAGATATTTAAAGAAGTCGTCTTCTTAACGTGTCTTAACCAAGGTTTTAAAGAATTTAAGCTAAATCAATTTAATAAATTAAAGCTTGTGTACTGTAAAGTTGTTTGTAGGGTGTTTTATTTTTGTTCTGAATTTGTGAGAGAAATTTAACTCCCTTTAAAAAAACGTGACGTAATTTAAATTTTTATTTTTTTTTTTGAATTTTGTACTGAGCGTCCCATATCAAATTGGATTATCTTCAAGGTTTAACGCCAAATACGCACATAATACACGAAAACCTAGTATTTTCTACATACAAATTTTTATATTAGCATTAAAGAATTCATTCTCTTTAAATTTCTGATTAATAGTCCCAAAAATCGCAATTTAGAGCTATGAACTGCAATCTAATATAACAAATGCTAATTTGCTAAATTACAGAGACCCCCCTTCAATACTTAAAACTTACCCCATTCGCGAAAAAAAGCTTAGTTCTTAACAATTCTTCAGATACTCAAGATGAAAAAAACTTTAAGAATCCTCAATTTACTGGAAAATCAAAAGGGTCCTTACCCAATATATAACTATATCTCCTCGCCCCCCCCCCCCCTCATCTCATATTTACAGTGATCAAAAGGTTGCCAGCCATCTCGATGAGAATTTTGCCCATTACTTCTTGCAAACTAAGGCTAAATACAAGTGCATAATTTAGTCATAAAATGTATATGTCTAGGGCTTCCAAAAATATAGTTTAGTTAGTAAGATAACAGTAAAGGCCAAAGCGATGCGACACTTTATTGTCGAACCAGTCTAAGAAATTGATGCAAATTCTTATGTGTATTTAGTACACTTGATATGATTTTGTTTAAACAAACTTTATATTAAACTTGTAAAAAATCGATCTATTCGAAAAAGTTTTAAGATTCTTAAGAGACTTGAGACTGGAGATCACAGATTAATAAAAACACAGATAGAACACTAGATGTTGTCTTTTCAAGATTTTGGGGTTTTTCGTTCACAATAAGCCTTAGGCGGACGCTCAAAGGAGTTTCGCGCATGCGGCGAAGAATTACAAGACAGAGAGAGAGTTTGTTCTACGCCGCATGCACGTAACTCCTTTGGGCTTCTGCCTCAGGATTATTGTGAACGAAAAACCCCTAAATTTTAAAAAGACGACATCTAGTGTTATATCTGTGTTGTTATTAATCTATGCTGGAGATAGAAAATATTGAAGAAACTTAAATATTTCTTTGTCAACATTTAAATCCCAGCAGTGAAGGAACTAGAGTGCTTCTTTTCAATCTTACATTTAAATTCTATTCTGAGTTTACTGTCGCATCAATTCCCCCCTCCCCCCCCCACTTCCCTCCCATTACATTCGTTTCAACCATACACCGTCTTACTCCTTCTAGTTACAGCAAATTCGCCTAAGCACCCGCCTTCGAGTTTCGTCCATAGCTTTCCCGGCATCTACCTCGTCCTCTTTATAACCATACAACTATGGAATATAAAGACAGCTGTTTATCTACCTTGTCCTCATTATAACCATACAACTATGGAATATAAAGACAGCTGTTTCATTATAACCATACAACTATGGAATATAAAGACAGCTGTTTATCTACCTTGTCCTCATTATAACCATACAACTATAATGGAATATAAAGACAGCTGTTCATCTACCTCGTCCTCATTATATCCATACAACTATGGAATATAAAGACAGCTGTTCATCTATCTTGTCCTTAGCATTATAACCATACAACTATGGAATATAAGGACGGACGGCTGTTAACTCATGATATGATTGCATAGAACATTTTTTAACAAATTTGATTTTCTTACTTCTGAAAAATATTTTTTAATTTTTTGAATATTATTTTTTACTTTCTAAAAATATTTTGTTGCTAAATAAATGTTATACATAATTAAGCACTTTGTAAATGCTGATTTTGTTTAAAAGTTTTCAGTTTTCAGTGGCCTTTGCTTTTCTTTGTAATATTTGCTGTTTAGCTTTTTCTGGATTTTCTTGCTTGCTGCTGTTTTTACCATCTTTTGGTGCCTTTTGATAAAAAAATCATTTTCTCTGTGTATTTCAAAGAACAGTTATGTACAGACCAATTTCATTTATACACTCAATTTACACTATACAGTATATATACAGTGATAACCATACAACTTTGGAATATCAAGACGACCTTTAGGCTCATGTTATGATTTTAAAGAACATTGAACTTAGTCATTGTGCAGTTCATGCAAAGACTAATTTCACTTATTAAGACGAATATCAATCTATATAGTAGAACTTTTTGTTTTACATTAAATACACACACGATTGCTGACATGCAATGACTTTTATTTCACAGTTTTTTGGGTCCTACAAATAGCCTTCTTTTCCCATTTTTACCTCAATAGAACTGTGTTTTAAATAATTATAACAATAATTTATATATGTACTATATATAAATATATATATATATATATATATATATATATATGTAGCAAATGCTTTACTCCAAAAAGTTCTCTTATGTCTGTATCAACACAGGTATGACCTTTTGTAATCTCTATTTGTATCCCACAGATACATATCGCTCTCTGTACTCTCAAGTTAGTATCCCTGTAATATGAAACCCTATTTCGTTTATATCTTTGTAACCCTTAAATATACGTTATTTAGTTCGTTGACCCTAGTTGCAGTCAACTTATTTACCTGTACATCCTTGATACACTCCCTGTAATTCTTGAAATTTGTCTCTGATACACTCTCTGTGATCCTTGACATGTATCCCTGATACACTCTCTGTGATCCTTGACATGTATCCCTGTTACACTCCCTGTAATTCTTGAAATGTATCTCTGATACACTCTCTGTGATCCTTGACATGTATCCCTGATACAACTCTCTGTAATCCTTAACATGTATCCCTGATACACTTTATGTAATCTTTAACATGTATCCCTGATACAACTCTCTGTGATCCTTGACATGTATCCCTGATACACTCTCTGTGATCCTTGACATGTATCCCTGATACACTCCCTGTAATCCTTGACATGCATCCCTGATACAACTCTCTGTAATCCTTGACATGTATCCCTGATACACTCTCTGTGATCCTTGACATGTATCCCTGATACAACTCTCTGTAATCCTTAACATGTATCCCTGATACACTTTATGTAATCTTTAACATGTATCCCTGATACAACTCTCTGTAATCTTTGACATGTATCCCTGATACAACTCTCTGTAATCCTTAACATGTATCCCTGATACAACTCTCTGTAATCTTTAAAATGTATCCCTGATACAACTCTCTGTAATCTTTAACATGTATCCCTGATACAACTCTCTGTAATCCTTAAGATGTATCCCTGATACAACTCTTAGTAATCCTTAATATGTATCCCTGATACAACTCTCTGTGATCTTTAACATGCATCCCTGATACAACTCTCTGTAATCCTTAATATGTATCCCTGATACAATTCTCTGTAATCCTTAATATGTATCCCTGATACAACTCTCTGTAATCCTTAATATGTATCCCTGATGCAACTTAATCTTGAACCCAAGGTTCCTTTAATCTGTATCAATCCTTTAAGATACAACTCGAGCTGAACCGACCAGGCCCTAATTTTGTGTGGGACCTCACATGACCCTAGCGCAGCTTTATTGAAGACCAAAAGTTTAAAAGTTAGCCTCCAACAAAATCCACTTTTCATTAAATTTTGAAAATCCACGACATTTATTCTAAAATCCGCCGAACTTTTTATTGTTTAAGAATGTATTGAAATACAAGATGGACGCAAAGCGCCCTGAATGCCAGTATTGTATACATTATCAAATAATTTTG